TCTTTCTTTCTTTCTTTCTTTCTTTCTTTCTTTCTTTCTTTCTTTCTTTCTTTCTTTCTTTCTTTCTTTCTTTCTTTCTTTCTTTCTTTCTGACAAGCTCCTTTCTATCAGAGTCAGATGGTCTGAGGGGGCTGAGTGAAGAACGACACCTTCTCCTCAACCTCCATCTCTGGTACTCCCCTGGGGTTAAGAACTAAAAGTGTTTTCTTTACAGTAGCATTTCTGCCAGATTCTGAGCCATAACATAAGCTTATCTACCCTGTAAACACCCCGCCCTAGTCTACAGCAGTGGTTCTCAACCTCCTAATGCTGGAACCTTTTAGTATAGTTCCTCATGTTGTGGTGATCCTCCCCAACCATAAAATTATTTTATTGCTACTTCATAACTGTAACTTTGCTACTGTTATGAACTGAATGGAAATATTTTTTCAGCTGAAGATTTGTTGAGGGTTTGTGATCCCATACGTTGAGAACCACTGGTGTACAGTGTCTCTCTGATCTTCATGTGCATCCTAAACCCCACAGTAATTCTGCAAGGTGTATTTTTGTAGCAGTTATTGTTGTCTAAAAATTACTCCACAACACCCTGGGAGAAAAAAAAAACTTAGTAGCTTGGATGCTTTTGACCTTTGTTTTGTCCAAGTAGCCGGGTCCTGCTCTTCAGATACCATGCTATGCTATGGAAAGGATTGGCATCTGCCAGGTAAGTGAGAATTCGTGAGCAGCTAATGGGTACATCACTTCCTTCTACTGTACACTTAATTTTTTTTCTGTCTGGGGCCTTGCAGAAAATACAATTGTAAAGAACTGGGCAGAATCAGTAACAGTGGCCCGTTAGATAAAGGGGAGGGAATAGGCAGTCCAGAGGCGAATGTTCCCACTTAAGGCTGGCCAGGAAGTATTGTCCCACCTTAAACAGCCACCATCAAAAAGAATCCTCGCTGGGCGATGGTGGCGCACGCCTTTAATCCCAGCACTCGGGAGGCAGAGCCAGGCGGATCTCTGTGAGTTTGAGGCCAGCCTGGGCTACCAAGTGAGCTCCAGGAAAGGCGCAAAACTACGCAGAGAAACCCTGTCTCGAAAAACCAAAAAAAAAAAAAAAAAAAAAAAAAAGAATCCTCTATGGAAAGGAAGAATGGTATTAGCATCACTCCTGAAAACACAGATTTTGAAGCTCTCTGTTGACAAAAATCACTGCAATATAGGAAACTATTCCAGAGAACATTTGCCTATCAGTGGGCTCAGCTTTTGTTAGTTTTCTAAAACATCCCCAGGTGTGAACATAAGAGCTCGATGTTCCATCTTCATGGCTTGGGTACCTCGAGAAGTCATTTTAGTGCCTGTCTTGTGAAATCTTTTGGACTGTCATTCAATTTTCCAGGTCTGTAAGTTCAGTAAAGAAACTTACAGAAAGTTTCACTTGAGGGCTCAAGAGTCTAGAAAAGTCTGCATTTACAAAAGTATTTAGACACACCTGCAAGGTCCTATAAGCTTGCTGTTAAAACAGAATTGAATAGTTACTGTCTGTGGGGTTTTAAGCTTTACAGAAGTATGGCTTTATGTAGTGAGGCTGTACTTGAATTCTTCTTTTTTTTTTTTTTTTGGTTTTTTGAGACAGGGTTTCTCTGTGTAGCTTTGCGCCTTTCCTGGAACTCACTTGGTAGCCCAGGCTGGCCTCGAACTCACAGAGATCCACCTGGCTCTGCCTCCCGAGTGCTGGGATTAAAGGCGTGAGCCACCACCGCCCGGCGAATTCTTCTTTTTAATTGAAGAGGAATTTTGTTTTTCTGAGACTTGTATTTATGTGTCCAGGACATTACAGTTAATAAAAATTTTATTAGGCTGCTTGTTGATGCCGAGCAGCATTTGAGACTGTTGAGCAAATCTTCTTCGGCCATAGAAATGTGCTAACCTCTCCAGGACATTCACCCCTCAATTCTTTGCTGACAGTACACAAGTTATCATATAGCCTGCATGGGAGTGTGATCTCCGAGGCTATTTTCAGCTCACCCTCTGGCTTACTTTCTAACCTTGGGAAAATCACTCCCAGGCCCGGTGCCACCAACCTGCCATCTGCAAATCAGGGCTGGTTAGTGACCTTCCTCTGGCCGAGTCAGTGGAGTCATGACTTCTGGAGGTTGGTGATTAAGAACTTAAAGATGCTCCCTGACAGTGCCATCTGCACACTTATTCTTTTGAACTTTTCTCACAGACCAGCCTTCTTGAAGGGTTGATGCTTTTACTCTAGTGCCACTTCTTCAGAAGACACAATGTGGTGAGGGTAATAAACTTGACCATCCTAGCCTCTCTCAAAGTAAAGGGGGTGGGTGGGAATGAAATTTTTCACCTCACGTCTTCACTTCCGTTTCTCTCTGTCTTTATCTAGGGTGCACTTGGACTCATTACTTACACTGGATTTTGAGTTTTGTGGATTTATTCCTGTGTTGTCAGTCAATGGCTAGAGATCAATATTGCCCAAAACAAATAAGATGTTAAAGTCATATATTTAAGACTGGTGATCTTAAAAGACATCTATATTATGCCATTTTCTTATCTTCATGTAATACGAGTTTCAGCTACAACATCTCATCGTGCAGTCTAACCGAATTCATCCCAAACATCCAACCTGGGTATCGACATCCTTTTCCATGATTACCAATACTTTTTATTTTAAAAAGACTTATTTAGGTGTGTGTATATATGCTACATGTATATGGGTGTCTGAGGAGGCCAGAAAAAGTCATCAGATGCCCTGGAGCTGGAGTTAGAGCTAGTTGTGAGCTGCCAGATATGGGTACACTTTTAAATGCTGAGCCATCTCTCCAACCCCCAATTACTAATAATTAATGGGAGTCTCCTTTTTTTGTTGGGGGAGGGCCGAGTCTCATGAAGCCTATGCTATCCCAAAACTCACTATGCAGCCAAGAATGACCCTGAACTTTTGATCCTCTTGCCTCTACCTCCCAAATGATGAGCTTACAAGGGTGCACCATACCCCCAATGAGGATCATTGTCTTCCATCTTTTCTGCCTGAGCCTGTTTCCATGTGAGGTGTCTTTTTCTTGTTCCAGTGGCTTCAACTTCAGTTTCTCCTGTGTTTTCAAAAGGAAAATCCATTTATACAAAGCTTCACTGGAGTTTTAAGGTTAAGGAAGATAACTTTAGATTCCATTTCCCCATTCTATCCCCAATGATTTCCCATGAGTCCCTCAGTCGACCCACACCCAGACTCCTCATTGTCCTTGTGTCTCCAATCCCCTTCTTACTGGAACAAAGGTAACTCTTCTCTAAAGTTTTCATGCAGGTAAGTTTTTTCATATATTGCTAGGATTTCCCATACCCATACTGACGGAGTTTCATTTTATTCCCCAAATGGCTTAACAAGGGATTTTCCCAAAGATAGTTTTTACCCATAAGAGGAATACTGCTATCATGTTACTAAAATTTCCCCCTCATTATATGAAAGTGTACACTTGTCTACATTTCCAATTTTTTTTTTTTTTTTTTGTTTTTTGAGACAAGGTTTCTCTGTGTAGCTCTGGCTGTCCTGGAACTCCCTCTGTAGGTCAGGCTGGCCTTGAACTCACAAAGATCCACCTGCCTCCACCTCCCAAGTGCTGGGATTAAAGGAGTGTGCCACCACTGCACTGCCCAAACCAATTTTTACATGTTTATTATTTTATGTATATTTCTTCATTAATAATGTAGTCCATGCCAGCTACTTTAATACATATCTTCTCAATTATTAGATATGCAGAGTGTTTCTAGTTTTAGCTTGTTTTGCATTATGAATAATGTTGCTATATGCATTGTGTGAAAATAGATTTCTTTCATTTGGATTATTTTGAGTAGGTGTATTCCCAAATATAGATCAGGTGAGTAATTTCATAGATCTTGTACTTTGCTACAGCAGTCTCAAAATGGTTATTCTGCTAAATAATTGTACCAGTATGTGTTTATCCATTTTTCTTAGCTTCATCAATGGTCTTTCTTATATTGTCCAGTTAGCATTGCAGCAAGGTTAAAAACTTTCTCCAAAGTTGACCTCTCTGGGGTTTTCTTCTGTAAATTCTTTGGTCCAGACCTTGACTCTTGTCCAGAGAATCTGACTGTTAATTTTGCTTAGAACAATACAGTTCTTCCAGTGAAATACTTAATTAAACAAATTTTAGTATGTTTTGAGTTGTGCAACTATCACCACAGTCAATCTTAGAACAATTAATTTATCATTTCCCCTCAGAAAGCAAAAACCAAAGCAAACCAAACAAAAACCCAACCCGCCACCCCCATAATCTAGTTTTAATCCTTCCTAGTTCCCCCTTTTCTGGTCTTAAACAACCGCTAATGTTTGTTTTTATAGTTGGGTCTATTTTGAGCCTTCTTTTTTTTTTTTTTTTTTTTTTTTTTTTTGGTTTTTCGAGACAGGGTTTCTCTGTGTAGCTTTGCGCCTTTCCTGGAACTCTCTTTGGAGATCAGGGTGGCCTTGAACTCACAGAGATTTGCCTGCCTCTGCCTCTCGAGTGCTGGGATTAAAGGCGTGCACCACCACTGCCGGGTTTATTTTGAGCCTTCTTATAAGTAGAATAATACAATATGTGATTCTTACTGAATGACTTAGCACAATGTCCTTGAGGTTCATACATGTTGTAGCACATCAGTATTTCAGTCCTTGCTATTATTGAACAATATTCCACCATGTAGACATATTTTATTATCCATGTACTAGTTGATGGGTGTGTGAACCATCATCACTTTTTGTCCATAATACTAATATGACTATTCAGCTTTTGTGGGGGCTTGTGTTGCCTTTATTGTGTATATACGTAAGAGTGTAAATGCTGGGTCATCTGGTAACTCTGTAACTGTACTAGTAATGACTACAGTGTCTTGCAAAATAGCTATCCCATTTTACATTTTTACCATCAGTATATACCAGTTTGTATCAGTTCCAATTTATTCACATATATGCTGTATTAACTGGCTAGAACTATCAAAACAAAATACCACAGACTGAGTGGCTTAAACACAAGAACTTTATTTTCTCACAGGTCTAGAGGGTAGAAATTCAAGATGGTTGTCAGCAGATGATAAGGTTTCATTTGTTTGAATGATGGTCTCCCTATATACCTCACACTCATGGCAATCTTTCTGTCTCAGCCTCTCTAGAGATGGGATTACAGGTGTGCACCACTGTGCCACCCCTCACATCACATGGCCTTCTCTTTGTGTGCACATATGCCCAGCTCTTCCTCCTCTCATAAGGACAGCTGTTGTATTGGGTTGGGAGTCTGCCTTTATGATGTCATTTACCTTAATTACCTCTCTTAATACCTTTTCTCAAATGCAGTCACATGACGGGGGTTAAAGCTTCAATATCTAATGTTAGAGGATACAATTCAGTCCATAATGCTTGACACTTGTTACAATATTTTCTAAATTAAATACGCTATGACATTGTTATCTTTTTATTATATATTATGTATATTTAAAATGATATACTTCGCACTGTGGGCGATAGAGTTTTGATTTGCATTTCTTGATGGCTACTGTTTTGATTTTTCTTTGTTACTGTGGGAAAGAACCTGACTAACAATTCAGAAGAGGAAAGGTTTGTTCGGGGTCAGGGTTTCAGGAGCTTCAGTCCATGGTTCCTGTACTTCATGTGCTGGGGCAGCACACCACGGCAGCACACCACGGCAGCAGGGGATTCTTCACCTCACGTGACTGGGAAGCAGAAAAGAGGTAGGAAGGGGTTAGGGGAAGACAGCTTTCTAGAACATCCTCAGGAACCCAGTGCTTCTAACTAGGTACCCACTTACACCGTTCTACCACTTCCTGATTGGTCAGCCTGTGAATCTGGCAGTGCTTTATGTCTATTGATGAAGGCAGGCCCTCACGGGTCAAACACTTCTCCAATCTCCCCACTTCTGAAACACTGTTCAATACTTGAGGACCTATAGGGCACATATCATACCCAAACCATTAGCAGCTACTAATGTTAAGCATATTTTATGTGCTTATTGGCATTTGTATATCTTCTCTAGAGGATTATCCGTTCATATCCTTTGCTCTGTTTATTTTTTTGCCCTGTCACTTATTATTTCTATTACAGGTAATATGTACTATTGATTATTGGGGCATTAACCACAGGATACTTTTTCTGAATCTTGAGAGTAGTGCTAGACTTTTTAAAAAAATAATATTATAATTAATTCATTGAGAATTTCATACATGCATCGAATGTATTCTGATCATATTCACTTCAAACTTCTCCTAACTCCTCCCAGATCTTTGTGTCCTATTTTTTTTTTAAATAAGCATGACAGACTTTCTAAGAAAAGTTAAAAACAAAAAAACTCTAAAAACATTATAAAATCAATTAGTATGAGTAGGTGAAAATGAAAACAGTCATTTGCCAAAATATAGTAAATTAAGCCAAAAAATAAGATGGGTAAAAGATAGGTAATTTATTCGCAATGACCTAATTTTTACATATATATGTATGTATATAAATCTACAATTTTTAAAAGGCCAACTAAAAAGAAAAATAAGCAAAGTAATAAGCATGAGCAGACGGACAAGTTTATTATACAGATATTATACTGCATAAAGAGATCCATTGTGGGCTGGGACAGCTCACGGTAAAATGCTTGCCATGTGAACAGGAGGACCTGGATCAAAAAGACCCGAATTTGATCCAGAGCACCCATGGATGACATGGTGGCTCAGACTTGTAATCCTAGTGCTGGGGTCAGGGCAGAGACAGGAGGACCTCTGGGGCTTGCTGGGCAGCCAGGCTAGCTGAATCAGCAAGATCCAGGTCTGGTGAGAGAACTTGGGTCAAAAAATTAGGTGGTCGGTTTCAGAGGGATGATTCCCAAGGTTGACATGGAGCCTCCACACATCTGCATGCACATACACAAGAATCTACACACATGTGTACCCTCCCATAAAAATAAAATTAAATAATAAACACCCAAAGATATGTGGACCGGTGAGATGCCTAGGTGGGAAAAGGCACCTGCTACCAAGCCTCACAACCTGAGTTCAGCATGGTGGAAGGTTAAAAACTGACCCCAGCAAGTTGATCTCTACACAAATGCTGTGGTACCTGTGCACATGTGCATGTGTGTGCGGAAACACACAAGTAGATAAGTTTCATTAAAAGATTAAAAGATGTGATGAATCAGACACCGTCATACATTGATTTGTGTATGTTTGTGTTAGATCTCTTTTTCCGGAGACAAAGAGGGGAAGGTTTATTTGGTTCATGACAGAACTTCAATTCATGTTCACTTGCTCTGGTGGCCTTAGGCTCTGTGGTGAGAAAGGCAGCCATGGCCGAAGCAGTTCCAGTATACCTTTGGAGGGTGGGGCTGTCACGACCTCCTACTTCTGAGAGGGCACTGTGATGGAAAGTTCCTAATGTCACCTGCTGGAAGCCAGGGGACATTTACAATCTTCAGCCATACCGAACTAAAAAAGAAAAATAAGCCAAAGCAATGAGCGGACAGAAAGTTGGTATACTACATAAAGACATGATTGCGGGCACGTACATGCAAGCAAACACTCACACATAGAAAAACAAATACATCTTTTAAAAATAATAAATGCCCGACAAAACCAAGTTATGGAGGAACTTATTTTGATTCGCAGTTTGAAGGTCATGGTGGAGGTCAAGGCATCCAGAGCATGAGGTCACATTTCACCCTCTCTCGGGAAGCAGAGCCATGAAAGCTAGTGTTCGGTTCCATTTCTCCTTTTCAGTCCAGGACCCCGGGCCCTTGGGACACTGTTGTCCACAGTCAGGATGGGTCGCATCCCCTCCGCTTACCTAGTCTAGAAACTCCCTCCCAGATGTGCCCAGAGGTTGGTCTCCTGGGTGATTCTAGATCCTGCCCAGTGTGAACCATCACGCAGTCAAGACCTATTTGTCGAAAAAGGGAAGCGCCCTCCAGGTCAGAAGCCTGTCTCTTAATACAGATCTTCTTTCTCTGCTAGTCAGCTCCAGCCTGAAATTCCGTGCGGTTTTCCTGAGCCCTGGGCGACTTGGGAGACCCGCCGGCCAGGCCCCGCCCCAGGCTTCCCGCGCTCGGTGCCCATTGGCTGCCTTGTTGGTAGGCGGACCCCTGCCCGGAGCTCAACGCCCGAGGACGCGGCCGAGGCGAGGGAGGTGAGGGAGGCGCTGGGAACTGCGCTGACTGAGATGCCCGGGGCCGGCGTTCCAGCAGCGACGCCGAGCCCCTCGTCCGGGGCCGCCGAGGCGCTGCAGGTGTCGGACTCCCTGAGGCGGTGAGCGCTCCCCTTGTCCCCGGTGCCCCTCGTCGCCTGCGCTAGGGCTTCAGGGGACGGGCCGCCCGGTCCCCTGTAACTGTCAGTCACTGCTTGGCTGCAGCGCCAGCGCTGGGTGTGTGGGAGGTGGCTGTCCGTCAGTTAAAAGCTCGGGACGTCAAGGCCAGCGCCCTTGGCGACGCCACCCGCTGTGCTGCACCGGCCCTTGGCCCCCGGCGCGGCCACACTCCCTGGCCAGTCCGGACCGGCTCAGCGCGAAGCCCTGGGTTCTGTGAAGAAGGCGCGCACATGACAGAGGAAGGGAGGTGGGGTCGAGAGCACGGGTGGAGGGGTGGCCGTGCAGCGTCGGTGCAGCGAGATGGCTGGGATGAGCTCGGCTTTGAAAAGCTTGCTCTAAAAAAAAAAAAAGACACTTGCATAACTTGCCGTGGCTCATCCCAAAATAGTTTTTGATGTCAAGACTGTAGACGTTCGAATGCAAGACCGACACATTCCCCTCGAAAAGAGAAACTTTCGAGCTTTCTTATTTGGTTAGTAACAGGCTTCTGTCATCAAAGAAAGTTCTGGGGGCTTGCTGTGGAATCTCGGTGGTGGAGCGCTTGCCTGGTCCGCAAAGCTCCTTGAATTTCATCCTCAGCACTTTAAACGCCCCC